CCCCAGCACCCATGTCTCTAGTTAGCTTCGATTTTTTTTTTTTTTTTTTTTTTTTTGGTACTGGGGATTGAACTCAGGGCCACTTAACCACTGAGCCACAACCCCAGCCCTATTTTGGATTTTATTTAGAGACAGGGTCTCACCAGGTTGCTTAGTGCCTCACTTTTGCTGAGTTTGGCTTTGAACTTGTGATCCTCCTGCCTCAGCCTCCTGAGCCGCTGGGATGACAGTCATGCACCACTGTGCCCAGCATGTGACTTAGATCTTGGGTGGCTCTCTTAGCTCTGTGGATTGCAAAGTACCTGCCAGGTGGAATGGCCAGCCTCCTGCCACTGGGGAGCCAGCAGGACACCTGGTCTGCTGGTGCCTGTTCCCTGCTTAACCTTATAACACGTTGCACAATTCTTCCTAAGAACCCTCCAGGTCCAGCCCAGGACTCTGCTATGAAATGGATACCAATGTCCACCCAGACCACCTCCTCACAAATCAGGAAGTTAGAATGGACTGAGGCCAAGGGAAGTTCTGTTTTGAGTCTGTCTTGGGGCATTGCATCCAAATGGACAAGAAATCCTGAAGGGGTCCAGGGGCTTCCAGGCATCAGCCAGAGGCTGCTAGGAAATCTGGAGGTGCCTCCAGATACACTGGGCTTCAGTGGCCGGCCGATGGAAAACACAAATGGGCACTTGGCCCGTTGAGGGGGAAAAGGCGAGAAGGCTCAGGAAATCCAGTGGCCACGCTTGTCACTGGGACTGAAGGCCCCTTTTTCCCTTGCTGGCCGCTATTTTACAAGCCTCTCTTCTCCTCTGTCCTGCCGCCCTGTTAAATGCTGAGCCAGGACGGCCCTGGGTGTGGGGCGGGAGGGGGGAGACTGGCCAGCAGCCCAAGGAGGGAAGGCCACCATCTGGTCATCTCCTTAACAGAGGCCAGCCATGGACAGCCAGGCCTGTGGGTTCTGCCTAAGCCAAAAGCTGCCGGGGCCAGCCAGGCGCCTCAGCCAATGTTTGTATTTCATGTGGGTTAACAGTCCTCCCTCTGGCATCTATAAAATGGGCTCCGCTACTTCTGCATTGGCATTTCTTAGGCTACGCCTAACCCCGATTTCTCAACTGAAAAATCTTTTGCACCTGGAAGACAGAGACACCGTAGAAGAGCACTGAATTTGGAGTCCAAAGATCCTGCTTTTGCCACTTATTTGCTCCATATCTTGGCCTCACTGGGCCTTGATCTTCTCACCTAGAATAGCAGCTGCTTCCCAGGCTCATTATGAGAACTAAACCAAATGCCCAGGCAGGGCTCATCACAAAGCCCCTTCAGGACAGCCCTGGGCCGAGCACAACATGCACGTTATATCATTTCACCTTCCAAATGACCCCATGAGTAGGTATTACCATTATCCCTACTGTATAAAGGCCCAGAGAGGTCAAGCTATTTGCCTGGGATCACTCAGCTAGGAAAGGAGGCCACTGTGATTCAAACCTGGTCTGTCTCTTCTGAAACATTGCTGTTTTAACCATCTTGATTTACTGGTTTTTATGTCATTTGTTATAACTGATGCCATCAAAGATATAACAGAACCATCAGGGAGGGGAGAGGCAGATAGAGGGGACATTAAGACCTTAGAGAGCCTGGGGTCTCACCGCTATTTGCAGGATGAACTGGGACCTGGAATCCCATCAGTATAGCCCCCTTTCTGTCCTCTCTTTACGGGTGCCCAGGAGGCACCCATGTTGGCTTCAAAGCTGTCACCCTCATATTAACTTGCCCATCTAGCAACCTGATGAGCTCACCCTGCAGTCAGGGATCCCAGATGAGCCTTGCCTGGTATGGGGCTGATGTTCTGCAGAGCCTCAAGCAGGGAGCGACAGGACCTCTTGGGTCATCAGCAGAACCAGGAAAGAAGCAAGCAAGGCGCCCTGGGTCTCTCCTCCAACTCTTATTACACCCACCCTTGCAAGATGAGGTCAGCCGCACACTCTGCATATTAAGTGAGAATTATTTGCCCATTTTATAGTCATGCAAGACACTCCATTTAGTTGTCACCTACTGGCTCCCTTGCCCAGTCCTTGAGCTCAGCAGTGTACAACCAGCATGATTCTACAGAAAAGTGTCCCCAGAGGTTAGAGTTGCCCAAGATCACACCACGGCTGAGAACGTGCTCTTATCAGACCTGCTCCCAAGGACTCCGGGCCAATGCAGATAAGCTTGGTTGCTTTGGTGTCTTTGTCTAACTCCATGATTTGCAAAGATGGCTGGCTATTGGAATCACCTGGGAACTTTTAAAACCCTCAAAGGCCAGCAGGTATGGTGGCACATGCCTGTAATCCCAGCAGCTGGGGAGGCTGAGACAGGAGATTGTGAGTTCAAAGCCAGCCTCAGCAACTTAGTAAGGTCCTAAGCACCTTAGTGAGATCCTGTCCCTAAATAAAATATAGAAAGGGCTGGGGATGTGGCTCCTGGGTACCCCTGGGTTCAATCCCTGGCACCAAAAGAAAAAGCCTGTGTTGTGACAGATCTTTATATAGAAGTCTCATTTAATTAAATTAAAAGGAAGGCTAGTGCTGCAATTCTTAAACCCTAGGGGTTCCTAGCACTTCCCTTCCGACCCCTGACATGCGTGTGTACACAGCTCTCCTTGCCATCGCGCCCCCACTCCCACCCCATGCTGTTTACCTAATTCAGCATCTTGAGAGGCAAAGGCAGATTTTCCCAGCTGCAACTCTGGGCTAAAGAACCAGACACATCCCTGCCTCACCTAACACACTGGTGATTTTATTTGAAGAGGGGAGAGGGCTTGGAGCAGATCCTTGAGCCGGGCATGGCCACTGATTGGACCCTGGGAGTAGGACTGATTCCATCATTTTCAGATCCCGGTGCCAAATAAAAATTCAGGGCCATTGTCCAAGATGTATCAGGCAGCAGCAGCAGGTTAAACAAACAAGGCCCCTCTTTTTTTTTGGTACCCGGGATTGAACCCAGGGGCACTTAACCACTGAGCCACATCCCAGCCCTTTTGATACTTTATTCAGAGACAGGGTCTCACTAAGGTTCTTAGGGCCTTGCTAAGTTGCTGAGGCTGGCTTTGAACTCTTACTTTGAGCCTTCCTGCCAGGGTGAGGCCTGACTCTGTAGCAGTCAACCCACTGGCTACTGGTGACCTATGGCCAGTCAGAGGATTTTCCCTCTGGAATTTAATGGGAAAGATGGACAGACAGAGACCACCCACTGGAAATGAAGAAAACCAAAGTCATTAAAAAAAAAAATCCCCAAAACCTGCTGACAGTTTTCTCCCCCAGAATGACCTTTTAAAAATGGAATCAGAAGCACGATTTCTCCCAGACTTGAACCCACCCGGCCACCCTCTCTCTGAACATTCTGCCGCTCACTCTCCCCACCCTGGGCACACTGTGTCTTTGTGCTCTCTGAACAGGCCGGCTTGTTCAAGGTGCATGAGTCACAAGTGCTATTCCCCAGGCCCCAAGCAGCCTCCTCTTTCCATCTCAGCTGTCAGATTTTAAGTGTCACCTCTCCAGAGAGGCCCTCCCGCTGCACCTGGCTGGAGATGGGTCCTTCACCAAACTCTATGGAGCCCGCCTGTTGCCACATCTATAACTGTTTTTATTGGTTTGCACGTGTGTGCTATTTACTGTCTGTCTCCCGCACCCCAGTGTCAGCTCTGTGAGAGTGGGGACCTTATCATTCAGTGTCCCTCTGCATGTCCAGTGTCTGCCACAGCACCCAGCAGATTATAGGAACTCAAACATTTAGGGAATGCATGACTTTTTAATGATCACATACTTTCTCCATGGTCATTCTGTTATGGAGACACTCTTGGTTTTGTGTCCTCATTTCCTATCTGGCCACAGGACTGAATTCCCTCTCCCAATGCTTGCTGGGTACGAATGTATGATTTTTGTTTTTTTTTTTTTTCAAATGTTCATCCTGCCATCTCCTTCTCTAAAGTTGGACCATTTATTTCTGTTTCCTGCTTTATCATGTTGGCAACATACAGTTAGTTCTTTTAAAGATGGCGGAACTGGGGAAGTAGCTGGGGCATAGAGGGACTAAGGGGAGGGTGAACAGCCAGGGAGTCACGGTGGCTATTAAAGTGTAGTTTGCCAATGCTGAGAGCTGAGGATATGGGGAAGAAAGAGTGTAGCGGAGAACTACTCTTTTAGAGGACCAGTGGAACTTGGGACTGGAAATAGGCATCAAAAGGAAAGAAATCTCATCACCACACACACACACACCTATAATCCCAGCAGCTCAGGAGGCTGAGGCAGGAGGATCGAAAGTTCAAACCCAGCCTTAGCAACTTAGTGAGGCCCTAAGCAACTCAGCGAGACCCCATCTCTCAATAAAATATAAAAAAAGGGCTGGGTATCGCCATCCATCTGAGCTGACAACCTATGCTGGGTTCACAAATCTGACTATGCCAATAACTTAAGAAAACGGTGAAGAAAGCATGCAAATACATAGAAGTGCCTTTTCAAAATCTGGGGACGGCTCTGTGACTTTAGGGGTCCATGAAAGAGAGTGAGCCACTGGAATTCTTCATTATTATATAGGGGACACACATGGGGAGTTTCCATGGAACATTCTATCCCAAAAAGGGCAAAGGGGTAGGATTACAAAGGAACAGGTGAATGTAGGTCAACCCCACCAGGTGACGCCCACTCCTGGAGCCAGACCTCATTATCTGAGCGGGACTAAAAGTCCAATGTATTGTGGGGTACAATAACTGTTTGGTACCCCTTTACTCAGGACTTAAAGGTGTGTACCTAGCTCGTGTCCAGAGCGGCTCCCAACAGCTGGGGTTGTGGCTCAGTGGTTAACAGCCCCTGAGTTCAATTCCTGTTACCAAAACAAGAAAGTCAGGTATCCTGGTCAGGGTGTCACATTAGTAAGTATCCAAGATCCACCTGAGAAGAGAACGCATGCCTCGTGGGGACAGGTGGGGTCATGAACCCGGCTCTGACCAATTCCTTCGTCCATCTCCGCAGCTTCAATGTACTCAGAGATCCAGAGGGAGCGGGCAGACATTGGGGGCCTAATGGCCCGGCCAGAGTACAGAGAGTGGAACCCAGAGCTCATCAAGCCCAAGAAGCTGTTGAACCCTGTGAAGGCCTCCCGGAGCCACCAGGAGCTGCACCGTGAGCTGCTCATGAACCACAGAAGGTAGGGATGGAGCTGGTTGCCTGGGCCCAGCAAGCAAGACCCTCCCCGGGCCTGCTGGGGCTGGGGCGGCCGCTCATGGAAAGCAGGCATGGCCACCATCCTGGGGCTCCTGGAGGCTGAGGGGGGCTGAGGGTGCCTCACGTGATCACCCAGCAGAGACTCTGAAGTTCTGATCCTCTGTGGGCCCCTAAGAGGCAGAGGGCCCTGAAAAGCCCCATTCTAGCCGGTTGAGATGTGGCACACCTCTAATCCCAGCAGCTTGGGAGGCTGAGGCAGGAGGATCGCAAGTTCAAAGCCAGCCTCAGCATCTTAGCAAGGCCCTGAGCAACTCAGTGAGACCCTGTCTCTAAAATATATATATATATATATGGGCTGGGGATGTGGGTTAGTTGTTAAGTGCCCCTGGGTTCAATCCCTAGTACCAAAAAAAAAAAAAAAAGAGAGAAATAAAGCCCCATTCTCCCTCCCAGCCACCCACTTCATGCCAGCACTCCAGATCTATTTGCTGAGAGCACACTGTGTGCCAGGCACTGTACCCAGACCCAGGGTACAAGAAGGAATTTCCTGCCCTCACAGAGGGGGATAGACATGTAACCAGGTGGTGGGATGGGTGATTACACAGGGGCAGAGGGTCTGGGACTCTAGAAGAGAAAGGGTCCAAGATAAATTCACTGGGAGGTACTCAACAATCAATAGGGAGAGGGAGACTGAGGCTCCCCTCTGAGGCCTGGGAAACCCCTCCCTGCCCACGGGTCCAGAATGGAGGCAAGAGTGCCTTCATAGCTCCCCCTCCTGGCCAGTTCTGGTTTTACAGTCACTCGTGATGGCCGTTCTGGGTGTCAGGTGTGTGAACCCCATACTCTAGCAGATATTCTTTTGTATATGGGGCTGGTTTTGGTTTTGCTTATTGTTATAACATGAGAATTTTCTATGATTGCTTTTCAGGATGATCATTCCTTTTATTTTTTTAATTCATTTTTTTTTCTGTTGTTGATGGAACTTTATTTATTTATATGCAGTGCTGAGAATCAACTCCAGTGCCTCCCCCACACATGCTAGGCAAGCGCTCTCCCACTGAGCTACACCTGCAGCCCATGATCCTGTTGACAAACATCAACACAATCAGAAATAGCATAAAAACAAGCCAGGAGAAATATTTGTCATATAAATACATTATATTGGGGGGGGGAAGCTATATATACAGAAAAATACTAATATCTTCACATCTCTTAATCCACAAGGAAAAGATGAACAAAAATAGGCCCAGTGAATTCACAAAAAGAGAACTGCTGGCTGGTAAATCTATCAAAAGCTGTTCCCTATAACTAATAATCAAGGAAACAAAGGAAACCAGATTTTATTTTGTGCCTATCAGATTCTCAAATAGAAAGATTGGCTGGTGATGGTGAGGAGAAAGAGATGCCCTCAGACACTGCTGATGGAAGCAGACATTGGGTAACTTTTCTAGAGGCAAATGGAAATATGTACCCACCCTCTTTTAAGCCTGACCCAACAATTCTACCTTTAGAAACTCATCCTAGGGACTAGGGCTGGGGCTCAGTGGTAGAGCGCTCGCCTAGCATGCATAAGGCACTGGGTTCAATCCTCAGCACCACAGAAAAATAAAATAAAGATATTGTGTCCACCTATAACTAAAAAATAAATATTAAAAAAAAAAAAAGAAAAGAAAGTCGTCCTAAAAAAAGATCAAGAAAGAACCCAAAATCTGGGCTATGCAGTCAGAGGGAGGGTGGTGGGATTGGTGTCACCATGAGATGTAGCCCTGGGACTGGGGGAGGTGGGAAGGAGAGGGGTTCTCCTAACGCCCCCCCACCCCCACCCCAGGGGCCTCGGCGTGGACAGTAAGCCAGAGCTGCAGCGTGTCCTGGAGCATCGCCGCAGGAACCAGCTCATCAAGAAGAAGAAGGAGGAGCTGGAGGCCAAGCGGCTTCAGTGCCCCTTTGAGCAGGAGCTGCTGAGACGGCAGCAGAGGCTGAACCAGGTGGGTAGGGGGCATCCAGTCCCAGCCCCTGTCTCCTCCAAGGCTGTCTCCTGGGCCTGGGAGGAAGGTCAACAGAAAGCACTGGCCTAAGCCTTCACTCTGCCACCCTGCTGTGTGACTTTGGGTAAATGGCTTCCCTTTCTGAACCTCTGTGCCAGCCCAGTACACTGCAGGCTAGTTCTGATGATCATAACTTGCCCTCTCAGCCAGGTGACATTACCAATTCGGAGGAGGCCCAGAGGCCAGGGATCTGAATCCGCCTTTATAAGGCGAAATAAATCTCATGCTGTCCCCGCGGTCCACCAGGCTGGTGGCAAAACCAATCCCCAGGTTGTTTCTGAGGGGAGGACCTTTGGCCCAAACCCCGTGGCTGTTGAGAACAGGAGTCTTCCTGGCCCCGCCCACTTCATACCACCACTTCTGTCTCCTTCAGCTGGAAAAACCACCAGAAAAGGAAGAGGAACATGCCCCCGAGTTTATCAAAGTCCGGGAAAACCTGCGGAGAATCGCCACCCTGAGCAGTGAGGAGAGGGCACTGTAGAGTGGCTGCTGGGCACTGCCCGCCCTGCGCTCCCTGGCCCAGGCTCCTCCAGCCCCCTGCACCTGGCTGCCCGGGGCTGTCCGTGATGTTCACACCTGCTCCCGTAGAAATGTGTCCCCCCAGGGGGCCTGGCTCACCCTGGGAAGCTGGGGACCCTGAGCTCCCACACTGTTCCTTCCGAGCGTCCATGTCTCCTGCCCCAAGAGGAATTCACTGCCAGGAAAACCTTCTCCAAGGCACCCCTCCCTGATCCTGAGCCCTGCACAGGAAACTAGCCTGGCAGAATCGGAAAGGAAGGACAGGTCCCCTCTGTGTCCTGCCGAGTCCTCTGTTCTGCCCAGGACTGTCCACCGGGAGACTCCAGGGCCCCATGGGGCCCTGCCTCTCAGAGCAGCCCAGCTCCTAGGCCCAGAAAATTCTGGCTGCAGTTTTACCTGAGGTCAGGTGAGGAGCAGATAAGCAGAGCTTAGCCTGGGGAACACCTGCTTTGAGAGCCAATGAGCAGAGAAAGGCTAATCTGTCCACAGCAAGGTCCCCAGGAGGTCAGATGGTGAGGGGGGAAGGGTACTAATCCAGACAGCCTTTTAGGGTTTGCAGGCTGTGCCCATGCCTTCCTTGTTCCTCCTCCACAGCCCACCCTACCTGGGCCTTGGAACCACACCTGGCAGGGATACAGCATTCCCAGTCCCAGTTTAGAAAAGCGCTTCGAAAACTTTACTGTGCATACTAATCACTGGGGAGCTCTTTAAAACACAGCTGCCGAGATCAGTGTGCAGTGGCACACGCCTGTGATCCCAGAGACTCTGGAGGCTGAGGCAGGAGGATTGCCAGCCTTAGCAACTTAGCAAGGCCCTGAGCAACCCAGTGAGACGCTGTCTCAAAAAATAAAAAGGGCTGAGGATGTGGCTCAGTGGTTAAACACCCCTGAGTTCAATTCCCAGTACCCGCCCCCCCCAAAAAAATTTAAAAACAGTTTCCGACTCCATAGATCTGGGCAGGGGCTTAGATTCTACATGGGTAACAAGCTCCTGTTGAGGCTGAGACTGCTGGTTTGAGGACCACCCTGAGCAAAACTGGAGGGTGCGGGGAGGTGCTCAGTGGTTCAGATCAGAAACACCATTCAACTCCCATGAACCTCTGCCCTGGGGGTTCCCAAGGCCACCTCTGCAGCCCAAGGACTCTTGGTTCCTTATCCAGCCCACCTGCAGGGACTCCTGGCCCTGGAAGACTTTGGTTTAACAAATTCTGTTCCTCAGTGACTTGCTTTGTTCACCAGAGCTGCATATTATTGCCAACTGTGTTCCTTACCGGTTTGACCACACCACTGCGCACTTCTCGCCAAAAAAAGAACAATGTTACCTTCTCTACAACAATGTGGAAAGCAAACATACCAAGATCTCCCCTAGGCTCCTCAAGGTACAAACAGTAGCTTCAAGACTCCACTGCCACATCTGTGGCCTGGCCTCCTCAGCGACCCTTTCCAGGCTGTCATGTGAAGAGACCTCCCCCACCTGCAGCCCCTCCAGGAAGTTCCCCCACCCTCCTTCCCCGAGGATCCCTTCCTGGGTGAGACCCAGATATTCTAACCTTTTTTTCCCCCAATGAAGTTTTAAAGACTTAGAGAACAAACCAGGCTTGTTTGTTTTCCCTTGAAGAATAAAATCCCTGCCTCGGGCTTTCTAAGCCCTTCACTAGAGGTGACAGAGATGGGTTAGAGCTGCCCTTGGGACACCCTCTGATAGCTTGAAGCAAAGGTGGACTTACGGGAGGAAAGGGTTTATCCTGGTAGGGTTTCTTTTAAGTCACACATGACAGTAGAGAGCATTTTGACCTATCACACATACATGGAGTCTAGCCTCCCATTCTTGTGGTTGGACATGATGTGGAGTTTCCCTGGTCGTGTGTTCACATAGGAACACAGGAAAGTTCTGTCCCATTCACTCCACTGTCTTTCCCATTCCCACCTACCCCCCCATCCTGGTCTTAACCCTAACTGGGTGGCTTGAGGGTGACTGAGATGCCGTCCTTCTCCTGTGGGTGGGCCAGCATAGGGGTGTAAGAATAGGTACACCACCTGTGTGTGTGCGCATGTGCATAAGCCAAGCTTTAAAAATGTCCCTGAATGTGACTGTCCTGATGAGAATGTGGCAAAGTTATTCTAAGTGTCTCCTGGGTGAGGCTTACGCTGAAGATGCATGATTCCTACACAAAGGCCACCAGTTCCTGGAAGAAGTCACCTTCAGGGGTCAGCATGCCATTCAAACATGCAAAGAGAAGCAAGATAGAGTGTTCCAGATTGAGTAGGACCACCCAAGGGAGCACCCGAGGTTCCACCCGGTGGTGGCCAGAGGTGCTTCTGGAAGAGGAAGCCCCAGAAACAGAAGGATCCTCAAGCACCATGTCATTCAGGGGAGCCCCAGCAGACACCCTCGGTGTACTCCCCACTGATCAGTCCCAACTCCATCTCTCTATCGCCTTCCACCAAGGAGGCTATAATTCCAGATTCTCACTGTTCTAGTCTTCTTTGCAGTTTGGGGTGATGCTGAGACCGAGTATGGCTAATGACATTTAAATGGAAGTCTACAGGAGCTTCTGGGAAAGCTTACGCTTTTATGATCAAAAGAGGCATAGCAAATTCCTTCCCTTTGCTCCTTTCTTCTCCCTGCCTTGATTGAGGATATGATACCTGGAGCTGCAGGTGCCATTTTGCTACATGAGAAAAAGGCCGAGAGAATCAGAGAGATGTAAACCCTATCATCATTTCACCAAGCCAATGTCCTTCTCCAGATTCTTGTAAAAAATAATAATAATAATAATAATAATCCCTGTTTGTTTAAATCATTGTTATTCAATCTCTGTTACCTGGACTCAAAAAAGTATTTCCTAAGTGATACAAAGGGCCAGCCCTGACTGCCCAGAAATACCTGCAGGCCATGCTAGAATTCAAATTCCAATTTCTCAAAAGAAAATTATGTATAAAAGTCCTTTAGCAACCTATTGGCCTGGGTTTTGTTGTTGTTGGTGGTGGTGGTCCTGGGGATTGAACCCAGGGATACTTAACCACTGAGCCACATCCCCAGCCCTATTTTATATTTTATTTAGAGACAGAGTCTCACTGAGTTGCTGAGGCTGGCTTTGAACTCGCCATGCTCCTGCCTCAGCCTCCCCAGCCACTGGGATGACAGACGCGTGCCACGGCGCCCAGCGGGGTTCTCTTTTTCTATACCTTTTCATTTAGCCCCCGGGCACCAGTCTGAGAGCTGGAACTTGGACATCACTAATGCAGTAAATATTTGTTGACTGCCCATTCTGTGCCAGGAAGCATACTAGGGGCACGCTGGGCACAGTGGAGAGAAAGTGCCTGTCCTTCACTTGGATTACAGCTCTCCCTGTACAGCCTTTGCCTCTACTGCCGGTTCTCAACAGAGCAGCCAAAATGACCCTGTTCAATTTTAGGCAGATCTTACCACTGTGCACAGAGCCAACCATCAGGATCCAGTCCTTCCTGCAATCTCAAGGGTCCTATGTGTCAGGCTCCTTCTTAACCTCTGGCCTCCCCCCCCTTCTCCCCCTCACTCACGTAGCTCTGGCTGCCCTGGCCTCCCCACACTCTCCAGGTGCACCCCACTTCTGTGTCTTTTCCTGGGCCAGGAAGATCCTTCCCCTTGGGAGCCACCAGGTCCACTCTCTGATTTTCTTCAGGTTTTTGGTTTTGGGTTTTTTTTTTTTTTTGGATGCTTCTTTCTAAACAAGGCCCCGTGTAAAATGTCAACATTGCTGGATGTGGTAGTGCACACCTGACCTGTAATCCTAGTGACTCCGGAGGCTGAGGCAGGAGGATCATGAGTTCAAGGCCAGCCTCAGCAACTTACCAAAGCTCTAAGCCACTTAGAAAGACCCTGTCTCAAAATAAAAGTTAAAAGGTGTTGGGATGTGGTTCAGTGGTTAAGAGTGCCCCTGGGTTCAATCTCTGGTACAAAAAAAAAAAAAACCCCAAAAATAAAATGTCAACACCTACACACTTCCTATTGCAGGAGTCAAAGACCTGTCATTTCAATATGTCGAATTGGCATAGGAAACTGTAATAATTGAGCAACTATAACTTCAGAAAGGGATTCTTGACTTGTCTTTTTCTATGTAAAGCCATGAAGGTTCCCGATACCAAGGCAGGAAAAGGATTTTGAGCACCAGAGCCTGGTAACTGGGGCTTCTATGAACCTGCATAAACACATTGGTTGAAGTAACTCTCATCTTCCACTAACTTATGTGTCCCCATTTATATCTTGGTGTCAGCCTGGAATCACTACCCTCATCCTGAAACCCACTTGTCCTGTTATTCCTTTACAAATGTATTGTTCTTTGACTAAAAATGTATAAAAGCATCATGCATTCATCATTTCTCGGACTTCACACTTGTAAAGATCCTCATGTAAATTTAATAAAACTCTTCTCAACCAGCCTTGGGTTAATTTGGTTCCTAGAACCAGCCAGAGAGTCCACATAAGAACTAAGGGCAGCAACTCAGGAGGCTGAGGCAGGAGGATCCCAAGTTCAAAGCCAGCCTCAGCAACATAGTGAGGCCCTAAGCAACTCAGTAATTCTCTAAATAAAATATAAAAAAGGAGCTGGGGATGTGGCTCAGCGGTTAAGAGCCCCTGGGTTCAATCCCCAGTACCAAAAACAAAAACAAAAAAAACCTTAAACTCTTTTGCTCTGCTATTTCTCCATGAATATATTGTTCTTTATTGAAGTTGATATATAAACCAGAGTTCTAAGCCACCACTTTGATTTGCTTTTTTTTTTCTTTTTAATATATTTTTTTTTTAGTTGTAGATGGACACAATATATTTTATTTATTTTTAGGTGGTGCTTTTTGTTGTGGTTTCTCCCAGTTGACATGAGCTGCATGCATTAGTAAATTGTTTTGTCTTTCTTGTTAATTTGTCTTTTGTTATAAGGGCCTACTCTAAGTACCAGCTAGCTGGGGGTGGAGCTCATGA